CCCTGTACATGTAACAAAAGGAGGAAATGTATTGATGAGAAACCAGTACATTTGACTCATCAACATTTTGAAGATGAACAGCATACATGTAATGAAAGTGGGGGTAAACTCAGCTTCAATTTCATGTCAGTCAGCTTGAGAGAACTTTGTTAGAACAGAATATTTTTTAATATAATACATGTGGTGAAATGTTGTCTGAAATGTCTTTTTACTGAGCATGAGAAAATACAAAGAGGTGATAAACCTTCTGAAACATCTGATATTTCCTTACACAAAAGGTATCAGGGAAGTGTCACTACAAGGTTCTTTGGCTATAAATAAAGTGGGAAACCTTTCTCCTGGAAGACAGACCTCAGTGTACATCAAAACTCATAAGGGGGCCTCCCCGGTGGTGCAGCAGGTTGAGCACAGTGCTGTGAAGGTGTCTGCAGCCTCTGTAGTGCCGGTTCGATTCTGGGCGGGCCAGGGAGATACCTACATGGTGCCTGTAGGGCCAGGATGGGCACTGAGCAGGTATTCTGATCCAGCAGACGGGTAAAGGAGAGTCGTGGCGCCCTCAGTGGCTTTCTCAGGCTTTTATTGAGCTTTCTCATGTAGTGTGGCAAACAGGTACATGGCAGGCAGAGATTCCCTGGGGGCCAGGAGGCCAGAAGGCCTCCAAACTCCTGGCAAGTCTGGGCTTCTCTGACTTCCTTTCTACCCTTCTCTCTCCTGCCTCTTCTGCTTTTCTGCTTCTGCTTCTCTTGGTGACTCTCTCAATACTCCTCCCATGGCCCACAGAAGTAAATAAGATAGTTTGCAATAATATAACACTATAGGTGCCCCCTCAAGCAGGGGCAATCCTAATTGTGGGAGGGCAGAAAAGCCTGAAAAACCATTTACCCTGCAGTGCAGGCAGACCTTTCCTGTATCTCCTCCTACTCCCCTCAGCAATGTTTCCAGTCCATCTGCCTGTTCTGCTCCCTGCTCTTGTTCTCTCTGGTGAAACCTTTCACCCTTCCCCCCGGCTGGGATGTACCCCAGTTCTTGTAAAATAAATAAATCTTAAAAAAATTCACACAGGCATGAAGCATTATAAATGTAAAGGATGTAAGAAATCATTCTGTCACAAGTCAGGTCTGAGTGTTCATCAGACAATTCACACACCAGAAAAACCCTATGAAAGTTCAAAGTGTAAGAAAATGTTCCACCGGAAATCACTCCTCTTTGTACTTCAAGGAAGTCACACTGGAAAGGAACTCTATGATAGTCAAGAGTGTAGGAAAACTTTCTCCTGGAAATCAACCGTCATGGAACATGAGAAGTGCTATGAATGTCTAAAGTGTAAGAAAACATTGTACAGGAAATCACACCTCATTGTACATCAGAAACTCACACTGGAGCCAAACCCTATGAATGTCGAGAGTGTAGAAAATATTCAATATGATGGCTGAGATATAATTATTTTTGTGTACTTTTTATCAGTCACACTTGGGATATTATGAAGTGGGGATGAATGTAATACAGCTCTAATTCACTCCATTCTCTGGCTTTCTCCCCTTGTGTGTGAAGTCATGCGTTCGCTTTTTTGCTGCCTCAAACATCTGAGAGATTCTCCTAGTAGATGGATTTGTTCTTGTCTATCTTGCAGGTAAATTTAGGACAGTACTGTGCCATGTATCAAGAACCTCTGAATGGAGGTGCTGCTTCTAGTTGACCCAAAACATTGATTTAAATCACCAAGACGAGGGACTCCCCGGTGGCACAGCGGATGAGCGCTGGGTTGCGAAGCTGCCCGCGGCATCTGCGGCGCCGGTTCCATCCCCGGCTGCTCCCCGGCCACCAGAGGAGGGTCCCATATGGCGCGCAGACCTCTCCTGCCGCCCGCTGCTCCCCTCAGCAGTGTACTTCGGTCCTTCTGCCTGCTCTGCTCCCCACTCTGACTCTGGTGAATTCTCTCACCTTCCCGCGCTTCTGACTGTACCCAGTGCTTGTATAAATAAATAAATAAATCTTTAAAAAAAATTAAATCACCAAGACGAGTATGGCCTTCATCGTTGGCATAAAAGTCAGACATAGGAACATGCTGGAGTTCAAATCATTTCATCAATTTCTCCTTATGGAAATATGCTGACAGCTGATTAAAATCCTGATGTATCTTCTTGGTAGTAATAGGGATCAGGACTATTATTTAACATTTCCAAAAGAAATCTTCACAGGCATATGATGAAAGAACAGGTGACTTTCCAAAAACAGAGCATAGAGTTGTGTGTGTGCACATTAGCTAAGTAATGAGCCTCTATGTTGACCACCAACAATGGGATTCAGGAATCAGAAGAACAAGAATGCTTCTTAAATGCCTGCAACTTGATTTTGACCAAAGAGCATACACTGGTAGCTGAACTAAGTATGTTTTAATAAAGCTGATTTTTTTTTAAAATTACTTATTTATGCATATAAGATCAGAGGTTGAAGCCGAGGTTGGGTTGGGGCGGTGGTGAGAAGATTCACCAGAGACAGAGTAGGGAGAAGAACAGGCAGATCTGCTGAAATGCACTGTGAAGGGGAGCAGCGGACCAGACAGGAGAGTTCTGCTGCACCATGTGGGTCCGCTCCTTGCCTGGGGATCGAACTCATGCTGTTGTGTCTAGCGACAGCTTGATACCACTAAGACTTTGACCCTTCTGCCACCAGGGAGGCCCATAAACCCGACTGATTTTTATGTGTATATCCTCAGGTATATTTGATAACTTTATTTGTATTTTTTTTTTTTTTTGCTTAACAATTTTTCTTAACAATTTCTACTTTAACTAGTCACATGTACAATGAGAAGCAATGCCTCGGCAATTCTCAATCAGGACCTACAAAATCGTACCCAATTTAACAGTCCATTTTCATGGCCTATACAACGAACACTCTCATGGCTGTGATACATGTTGAACACTACATGTAAATATATTAGGAGGCATTATTTAGGAATGACAGAATGTGTGGGAAGAGAGTGTGTGTCTCTGGGCCTGATGTCCGTCACAGGCAGGCAGTGCTGGTAGTGGGTCACACAGCAGTTGCTTAGTTTTTGGTCAGGATGCAGTAACTCTTAAAATCTGTCTGGCAGGATGGAAAATGTCGTTAAAAGCCCATTTAGCGAGAAATGAGGAGACTGCGAGCCCCTCAAACTCAGACCTTTTAAGATACAGGTGGAAGGACCCTGGCTCAGCCTGGAGGCCTCCAGCAACTCTAAGCCCTCACACTGTAAGATGTTAAAGGACTAAACATAGCAAGACAGCAGCCATTTTAAGGAAAAACGACCGTTTTAAAGAGCACAGCTGTCCGTTGCAGGGTAAAACCACAACCACAAGGCCAGGGTCAACGAAACTTAAAGGCTGCCAAAGAAAGGTACACAATCAGATTGAACTTGGTCCCCATTGTGAAAGGTCCCCTTTTTCTGATATGAAAGGTCCCCTTTTTTCTGCTGTAACAGAGTATAAAAAACAACTTGTCACCCTTAAAGGGGTCCTTCTCTCAACCTGATGAGACTGCTGTGTCAGTACACCAGGCAGAGTCGGGCCCTAGCTTAAGCTAGCAATAAAGCCTTTTTGCTTTTGCATCTCTGGCTCCGTGTAGTTTTTGGGAACCCCGGAAGGAGTTGAGGCGCCAACTCCTAACAACATGGTGCATGGAGAGAATGGGGTCTGAGGGTACAGAGTCCCATCTGGGAGCCTCCAAACCGGTTTCTCACTGGCGCCCAGAAAGGCAAAGCTACAACACAAGAAAGGCCTTCACATGGGTTTATTCAAGATGCTGTCCAGGGAGTGTGCCCTAAACACCCTCCTGGGGGTGCAGCTCCCCAAGCGCAGGGAGAGAGCAGAGTGAGAGGAACCCACTTCTCTGGCATCAAAACACTCTCCTCTTTTTCTTCGCCAAACAGACTCGGTTCCGGCGCGCCGGGCGGACTGCGAGGCCGCGCTCACATGGCCCCACCACCCAATATGTCCCTGAGCCCCACTGGGGGAGGACGCGCGCCCTGATGCTTCCGGACGCGCGGCGCGCGGGATTGTGGGAAATGTAGTCTCCTGAGGACACGCGGTTCCCGCCCAGGGCTCTGCCCAGGGGCGTCCTGCCTCGCCGCCCTCGTCTGCGCAGGCGCGGCCCCGCGTCCTCCCAGTCTTTCCGGGGCCCGGGGCCTCCGCGGTCGCTGCTCCCCCGCCGCGGGTTGCGAGCGGCCTTGTCGCCGAGGCTGGGCTTGGGGTGAGGCTGAGGGCCCGCGTGCGGGAGCGGGGGCGGGCGCGGCGGGGAGGCGCCGGGGGAGGCCTGAGGCGGGTGAGGGGGCCCGTGGCCCGGAACAGGCGCCAGGAGGGTCCGCGGGGGCGAGGCTGGGGGCGAGGGGAGCGGGGTCCCCGCCCTGGACACGGGCGAGCCCCCCGACGGCCGCCCCTCCGCGTTTCCGGGAGTTCCGTGCGCTGTGACGCCCTGGGACGGCTGTCGTGGGCTGCGGAACCCCCGCCACGTGCGCCCGCCCCGGGTGTGGCTTCCGCGGGTCCCCGAGCGTTTTCTCCCGGAGACCCCGAGCTCACCCTGGAGCACGCGCGCCGTTTCCCTCCGGACGCGGATGGGGCTGCGTTCCGGGGTCTCGCGTCCCTCGCGGCGTGGCCCGAGGACACGCGGGCTGCGGAGCTCCCGGCCCTGACCGGCCCGGCGGGTAAGAGTTTCCCGTTCTTTGTGCCCATTTATCGTGGCCGCCGCCCCGCCGCGTGCCTGCCCGTGACCCCGGGTCTCCCCAGGAGGACGGTGTCCCGGAGGCCAGACCCCTGGAAAAGTGCTTTTCCTCCCGTGCGTGTGCGCCCTCTTTCTCTGGGGGGACACCCCAGGCACATCCAGGGCATGGGCACCGGGGTGTACGAGGACATGAAGCCGGGCTCTCGGAACCACTCCTGGGAGTGTCCGTCCTGCCAAAGAAGTGCATAAGGTGCATCATTTCCTTTGAAATTGTGTCCAATTTTTTTAATTCATTTTTTTTAATTTTTTTAAGATTTATTTATTTGTTTGTTTATACATGCAAGCACTGGGTACAGTCAGAAGCGCGGGAGGGTGAGAGAATTCACCAGAGCCAGAGCAGGGAGCAGAGCAGGCAGAAGGACCGAAGTACACTGCTGAGGGGAGCAGCAGGCGGCAGGAGAGGTCTGTGCACCATGTGGGACCCTCCTCCGGTGGCCGGGGAGCAGCTGGGGATCGAATTGGGACCACAAAGGCCGCGGGCAGCTTCACAACCCAGCGCTCAACCGCTGCGCCACCGGGGAGGCCCATGCTTATTGATTTTTAATGTAGTCATCTGGACATGTACTTAATCATAAGTTGTCCCCCATCAGCATTAACCAATTCCTCCATTTTAAGGCTTTCTGTAACAGATGAGAACACTCAGGTGGTTGTCTACACAATGTTACATCACCAGCAGGCGCTGTTCTCGATAGCTTATATCTGAAATAGTTTTGACTGTTTTCAATAACTACACACTTTTTGTTCTCTTAGTAGCCCGGAATATTGAGTGCTTTCAAAATAATGCCGGAGTATTTTAAAGAATTTTGCAAAACACTTCATGGTATTGGTGCTTTGCCATCCATTTTTTTGTACCTAAACTATCTCTGGGGACCCTGAAGTGACACTAGACCCTCTTTTAGAGGTTCCTGCTATCGTCTGTTGTAACACTCTGCATGATCACAAGAAAAATATAAATTCTCACATGACTTCACATGCAGAAATTGTCTTGCCTCTCCTGTCTAGGGGCCTCCCCTTGGTTGGCCCTGGATAAAATCTCCATAGAGCTGACAATTGATAATACTTAGTTACTTCCATTAACTAATACTGTATTTCTGCCTTTGGTTTACCTGCAGCAATACAATTTTCAGGATCTTTGAAATACTACAGTATTGACCTTTTAGTGGCCTTCAAACATACATTGTCTTAGATTTGATATATATGTAATCCAACATGTAAGTACATTGAGACATCACTTAGGAATGACAGATTGGTTGCGGGGGGTGGGGGAAGTAGGTGTGTGTTTATATTACGTGCATTCTGGAGAGCAGGGTGTGTGTGTAGGGAAGCATTTTGTGATGTCACTGGCCTGGGCAGCAGTTGCTTATTTTTCAGAGAAGAGGCAATTACTTCTAAAATGGGGATGTTTGCAGGAAGTATCTGGCAGGATGGAGGCACCCTCTATTCCATTTCGGGGAAAATCAGGATAGCTCACACTGACATCTTTTAAGAATGATGTGGGGTCTCCCGGGTGGCACAAGAGATAAAGCACAGCACTATGAAGCTATCCACAGCCTCTGTAGCATGTGTTTGATCCCAGGCCACCAGGGAGAAACCCAGTTGGGGTGGCACACCTCTCCTGCCTTGCTTGCTGCTCCCCTCAGCAGTGTTTTCAGTCCATCTGCCTTTTGTGCTCCCTGCTCTGTCTCCCCTACCACAGAAAGGGGAATAGAACTGGCAGACTCACAAAATACACTGCTGAGGGGAGCAGCGGGCATGACAAGAGGGGTCTGCCATGCCTTGTGGGACCCTCGCAGGCCGGCCGGGATCGAACTGGTGCTGCAGAGCCTGCAGACAGCCTCAAGTGCGATGCTCAACAGTCTGCGCCACCAGGAGAGGCCCCCAAATCAGACTGCGGGTTCACAATGACTGGCGGCTCCCCTCTTGACTCCCCTCTTGGCTCCCCGTTGGCTAATTGCTTTGGCAACTATCAGTACAAACCACATCTGATAGAATGAAAGTCTCTCCGTAATTTGAGCAGAGGCCATGCCAGGGACTGTATTGGTTCAGGTTGTCCTAAATTGCCTTCTGAGTGGAAACAAGTTTTTTTCTAGCTGGCCTACGAGGCTGTGATTGAATAGGGAGGGAAACCAGTGACTCTATGTGTTTCATTTTTCTAAATTGTTGGTAATATAAGTTGGCATATTCCTCGGATTTTCATTTTAGGTTTCTCCATTTAGCCATGATACTTGGGAGGTTTCTCCCACGAGGCCTCTGAGCTCCATGTCTAAAACAAAAAATTCTCATTTGAGGCTGGGGTAGATAGAAAGAAAATAGACTTTTAGAGAAGCATGAAAAATATTTTAGTGTGTTTATTCCAGTTTATCTACTTCAACGCGTGTAGTAGGTAGATGAAGAAATGGGAGGAATAAAGCCCCAAATAGTTGACTTTTTAATACAAAACTCGCTGCGAGTGGGCTTGGAATACATGTTAGTGCTCCGTTGGTCCCAGTCTTAACCACTTGCAAAGCCTCGACTGTGAGACACAATAAGAAATGGTCTTCTTAAGCCCCCGTCAGCACTCTGCGGAAGGCTTTGTTTCAGCCCAGATGGTCAATAGCGCCCTTAGGTGTCTGGGCACATGCACTGACTGACCAGGGAAGAACTCCTGGTGATAATCCGGCGCCTTTCAGCTTTGTTTAAGATGTAGCAAGGAACCTGTGGGATGGAGGCAGCACTTTCTTGTTTTCACATCTAGTTCTGCTGTTCCCTGGTTTACTCTCTGCCACATGTGGTTCCTTCTAGTCTTGAAAATGTGGCTGATGCCACTGTTTGCTTTCACAGGGATCCCAAATTCCAAATCCTGAAGAAGGTGTAAGTTGGATGTTCTGGTATCCACTGGTGTCCAGTGTTTGGAAATGCACTGGGCTAGTTTGGAAAGTTTGGATTCTCTGAGCTTTCTTCTGGAGAGTCTGCAATCACTGCCAGTCTCTACACGATGGGAGAGGTGTTGCAGAGTCCTGCTACATTCCTTAGTCTGCCTGGCCTTCATTACCTGTATCAGGTGTATCTGGATACACCTGATAGAAAGTCCAGATAGACTTTCTGGTGTATCTGGACTTCAGGGGCAGCCTTGGCCCTCTCCAACTCAAGACAACTCCTCCCAAACACTTTATCTGCAGGGAGCCATTGAGGAACCCCCTGTGCGCCAACATTTTTTGATTTTTTTTTACTGTGTGCAGTGTTGTAGATCTGTGATTTCATTCATCTGTAAACCACGCTCAGCAGTGGCTATTGCTGGTCCCATTTTATACATGAGAAAATTGAGACTTGAAGGAAGAGCAGCTTGCCGAAAGTCCACAGCTATTAAGGAAAATGGACTCCAAAGCCTTTCCAGTAACCTGTTTACCTCCCTGGAAGGATTTGGGCCTCTGTCCTTCTCCTGGCAGGAAAGCATTCCCTGCGGACTCTGTAGGGGGCTGCCCTCCTGCCCTGTGGAGCAGCTGTGATAAGTGCTCACTGCAACCTGCATGGGGCTCTCTGCACTTCTGTCAACACCCTCCTGTTGAGCAGGAAGCCACACTCACATTCCTCCAGAAGGTTAGTGAGAGAGCTGCAAGCAGAAGTTGATTTTTCTTTCCCTTCCGAAACAAGTATCACTCAACTCCTTTAACAATTGACTTCCTAAGTTGACTTTGAGTGTAGGTGATGCAGCAAGCCCCAGACCTAGGATTTTCAAAATGTCCTTGGCCAGTTATTACCAATGACTGTCAAATGTGTTCTCGGTGGTCTGGGTGTATCCCATGGGAAAATGCCTTTTCTCAGGGAGTGGAGCTTTTACAGTTCATTTGTGACTTAGATTTTAGCTGTATGTTGAATTCATACCTTTCTCCGCTCTTAACTATCTTGTCTCATAGCAGAAGCTGTTGAATGTGGTCTGTGCTCGTACATTAGGTTTCTGATGTGATTGTCTTTATTCTGGTGGGTTGGGCTGGGAAGGGGTCGCTTCAGCCGTGGCCAGTGATATCCTGGGGAGTAAGTGAATCCATTGGCCCTGGATTCTGTCCAGTATATTCAGTTCCTTTATTTCACATCCTAGGGAGGTGACATGATGGTCAAGGTTACAGTACTTCTTAGTGGTACCTCTTGTCACCCAGATTTCTAAGTCACACTGCCCTCATACCAGGATTTTGGGGGCTCTCTGATAGGAGGAGGGAGGCTTAGAGATGAAGTGACTTGTCTGAGGTCCTGGCTGGTTGGTGTATGAGTTGCAGCTAGAACTCAAACCTGATAAGGACTGGAATGTAGCTAACTGAATGTTTAGCTACAGAATGTTTTTGTTGTATTTTAGCTGACTGAATGTTTTTAGAAACTCAATTATGTCTCCACTCTACCAAAAAAACTAGCTGTTTAAACTTTCCCATTGTGATTGTAAGGTGAACAGTTCTCTCTGATTTGTCTTATAGTAGGGGGAACAGGGACACCAATTCATGTGTTTACTTTTTGGATTTCCTGAGGCCAGCTCTCCTTAGGTTGCCCCCACCCCAATCCTAGATCCAGACCTATGGCTCCACTGCCTGAGGACTCTGCTCCACCCGCTGCCTCTGTTTTTCTACTGCAGAGGATGTGGAAGTGGGAGCTCATTAAACAAAAAAATCAGGAGTTCACCCTGCATTTCAGTTCCCTTTTGGAGCCAGGGTGGAGAGCAGAGAAAGAAAGGTGTGCTGCTCCACAATGTGGCTGAAGACTTTGCAGCCATTGGGCTGACCTCCCCCTGGGCAGGAAAGTGGACAGACAGGGAGTGCTCCCAATTTCAGGGGTGGCCCTCCTGAGTGGCTTCCAGCACTTGTTACAAGAACAGTGAAGACCTTCTGGGCAGCTGCAACAGGCGATAGGCTCGATGGCCTCACTGGATCTTGAGCTGAAGCCAGGACTGTGCTGAGTGACCCCAGTCAGTGAGCAGTGCAAAGCAGTGGCCTCCGAACCTTCCTCTTCCCCACATCCCAGTCTCTCTGTGCTGGAGTCCTGGACAGGGCACCGGAACATCTGGCTCAGTCAGGCTACTAAAGTGTTGCACTACTGAACACTCTTGAATCTGCTGCACCCTTTCTGTTTACACAGTGAGCAGAGTAATAGCAAGACTGTGCTACACGTGATGGCTCTGCACTTAGCTAGGCTGTCAGGCAGGCCAGGCTCTGCCCCATGGTGGCCTGCTGCCATTGTGTTTCCCTTCCTGTGCGGGTCTCTGCTGTCCCTGAAGCATCACCAGGACACCTTGGTGTCCTTCTGAATGTAATGACTTACTTGTAACTCTAGTCACATCCCAGGAAAAGAAACAAAAGCAGGGACCTGACCGCCTCCTTAGACCCTCTTTCTTGTTTAGGCAACCAAACATATTTAGAATTGGGCCCTGTGTCTAGCCCAGGGGAGGAAGAAGTTTCTAGCAGTTATGGCTTTTGTTTGCTGCCTGGTGCTTTCACAGAAATACTTCATTTTTTTAAACCAAAATTGCATTTGTTCAGTTGTCATTGTTGAGGATGTGTTTCTTGTGTTTTACAGACGTGAGTATATATATGTATGTACTTATATATATGTATGTATGTATGAAGAAAACCAAATGTATATGACAAGGTCAAGGCATGTATACTAGATATTTTGAAGTTATTTATCAAGGGGAAAGATGTGTGTTATAGAGTAAACAGAGTCTGTATTTTATATATAATGCGGATAGCAAGAATAGCATCCACATTATACACAAGTTTCGTTTCCTCTTTTATTATTAAAGGAAAAGAAAAGAGGACCATAAATTCAGCTGTTCCCAGGGTTGTGAAGGCCAGGACACCGTCGCGGGAGGGACTGCCCGGCCCTGGGGTATGCTCTGTGTTCAGGCCCAGTCCTACACTCCCCACCGGCTGGCTCTGCCTCCCCGGGGCTTCCTGCTCTCCCCCAAAGTCTGCATCGCTGGAGTGAAGGGTGAGAGTAACCAGTAAAGATTGACCAACAGAAGCGGTTCTGGCTCTTCTCCTGCTGGGTTGCCTCGGGGCTCTCCTTCGGGAGCCCGCGCCTTGTGGGTTGTGGACTCTGAGGCAGCGATGGGAGTGGGTCGGTGGTGGTATTTAGCGTGTGCGTGGGGTTCTTAGTGGGGAAAGGCTGTCCTAAGGCTAATTCCACACAGGCTTTGTGGACTCCACCCCCACCCCAGGTCAAAGCCAAAGACACTGGGAACTCCACATCCCATCACCACCCAAGGGAAGGTGGCTGGGAACTGAGGGTGGGGTTAAGCAGCCAGGTGGATATATAGCCAACCCGTGGGCTTTGGAGGGGTTCCCCGTTTTGGCTCTGGGCCAGCTCGCAGCGTCCTGCCTTTGGGTTTCCAGGTCGGCGGATCGGGTAGGACGCATTAAAGACTTTATTTCCCTATTTTCTCCCTGAGTTGTACATTTTCCTTATTTCCTTTTCCCTTGTAAGTAAATCTTTCATTAACCTTCTGTGTGTGCCTGTAGTGGAGTATTAATGGGTCCCTTTTAAGCACACGGGTGAGGACCCACAGCCAGGCAACCCGTTCAATATCAGGGCTGCCCTATAACAGGGTGGTGTGCGTATGTGACCATAGGTGCATGTAGTTCGTGTATGGTTGGTGTGTGTGTGTGTGTGTTTGTGTGCATGTGAGTGAAAAAGGCTGGTCCGCACAAGCCGATGACGGCACAGACTTTAGATGGGAGAAACAAGTTTTAAAATTATTTATTATTCTGATGACTAAGTGACTACCTCCACTGATCTCTAAAGGACTTTCCTAAGTTGTATCTGATTATTCATAAGAGCATCTTTGCTTCCCTCTTTCTTAGCAGTGTTGAAGGGTCACCATCTTCAGTGAGCTCAGGCAAATTGCTAATTGGCCTGATAGTGTAACAGGGTGATCCCCAGGAAAGGGGGAGGTTCCAGGTTCCCTGGCCCACCTAAGGGAGGGTGGAGCTGAGCAGGGAGAGAACAAGTTGCAGAGGAGACTGAGGAAGGAAGGAAGCAGAATGGAGACAGGAGACCTTGAGGAGGCACATGGAGTCTAGAAACACGTGAAGAAACTGCACTTGCCTTGTGGTCGTGGACGGGGTGACACAGATGTGGGTGAGACCCGTGGGAGGTGACAATGGCAGCTTTTATCTTGATGTTGATTTTGCTCTTTTCCTTCCAGGCTTGTCTGGTTGTTTCTGACCCTTTTCTGTGGGTCCCCACTGGAAGATGCTTTAGACTTGTGGCAGACTTTGGGGCCTTGTTCTGGGCCCATCCCATATGGATAGACTTTTACCCACGAGGGGACGGGTGACTGTGGGTGCTTCATTTAGAAACTAGATTCTTTGCCTTTCCTGTATTGTTTCCTAGTTTTATTAAAGTTCCTTCCCATTAAATTCTCATATGTTTTGTGTTGATGCAGCGGATGGCAGAACCCATTTAGAATAGGCAGGTTTGAGGGGTTTGGGCTGCTCCTCTCCCTGCCCTATAACAGTTAGACCGGCCTCCCTTTCCACCCTCTGCCGGCCTAGAGCGTGCACGCAGGCAGGTCTTCTGGTGCATAGTCTCCCTTCACTTCACAACAATGGAAAATTGGAAATAATGATACAAAGATGAAATCTTTTGTTGTGAGCCAGCCGCAGCCGTCTGGGTGTCAGGGGTTCCTGAAGGATGGGACGGCGGTGGCGCAATTGTAGAGAATGATAAGGGAGGGGGATGAGGAGACACAGACACTGGGTCAGGGTGCGGGCCTCGTCCTGCTGAGGGTCTCTGCAGCCCTTCATTTATGCATTTCAGGCAACCCGGGAGAGCACGTGAGCACAGGCATGAGGGAAGGGAACAGTCACATCTTTCCCAGAGCAGCAAGGGTTGATTGACCCTTTCGCAGAGGCTGTGACTGAAAGGTTTGGTACGGTAAAGACAAGGATAGCCAGGCTACATTTCTCAAAGGGAGGGAAAGTTCATTGCGCCCCGCGCAGACCTCGTGCACCCAAGGTGGGTGTCAGTGAAGCCGTGCACGTTGTTAGGGGGAAGCAGGGTTTTAAAGGGTGAGCAGGGGTCAGGTGGGAAGTTGGGCTCCTCTGGCAGGAAAAAGTTTGTTGGGCAGGGGGAGTCTTCTGGGGCAGGTAGAGGTTCTTTGTCTGAGAAGAGACTCTAGGGGGAGGGGGGAGTCTCACTGTCTGAGTCCTCCAGGCAGGTATCCGCATTCCTGCCCCCCAGGTGGGCTTCCTGGTAGGCTTCTGCATGGACCTTTCATACCAGCCTTTTGTTGATAGGAAAAGGGGTGAAGGTTCTCTCTTTGGCTACTTCTGGCTGAAAAGGGCGAAAATCAAGGGGGTGGCTCAGGCCTGGTGATGAGGGTCTTCTGCAGGGACGCGAGAATATGGGTGGAGAAGGAGTTGGTTAAAGGTGGTAGGAGACATTTCCCGAATGCGAGCCTGTGTGAATTTTAGGAGGTGAGGAGAGAAAAGAAAAAATAAGGTGATCATTAGTATTGGCCCCAAGAGTGGGAGGAGCCATGACACTAGGATTTTGAAACCTTGTCAGCGGAGAGTTGGAGTCCCCGGTTTTACTATTAATAACATTCTTCCCTGAGGAACAGGCAGGTACCCCCTTTATTAGCTGTTAACAAGTACAGAGCCCACCGGTTTTGGAGAGTGACCTGTGCCAGGGCGGTGAGCTGTCTTTGTAATGATGCTGAAGACACAGGTTTTTTTCTAAGGAGGTATCTATTCTTTCATGAAATTCCTGGGCAGAAATCAGGCTGTGTCCCAGGGCCCCACCTGCCATTCTTGCGGCTGCTATTGATGATGCCAGGCTAATTCCAACCATGATTGGGAGAAAGGCCGCCTGCTTAGTCCGATGTGGTGAGAATAACCAACCTAGCTCAGACCGTCCGTACAGAGCTAACTGTGGGACCGCGAGGGCTTGGATACGTGGGCCTGGAGTAGCAGAATTAATACACCGAGAGAGCGAGCCATTGCACTGTAACAGAGTGGTCCCCAGGAGAGGGAACCCTGCCCCACCCAAGGGAGGGTGGAGCTGAGCAGGAAGAGGAGAAGCTGCAGAAGAGACTGAGGAAGGAAGCAGGATGGAGCCAGAAGGAGGAGTGACATGGAGCCTAGAGACGTGAAGAAACTGCGCTTGTCTTTTGGTCGTGGACGGGGTGACACAGATGTGTGTGAGACCCGTGGGGAGGTGATAATGGCAGCTTTTATCTTGATGTTGATTTTGCTCTTTTCCTTCCGGGCTTGTCTGGTTGTTTCTGACCCTTTTCTGTGGGTCCCCACTGGAAGGTGCTTTAGACTTGTGGCAGGCTTTGGGACCTTGTTCTGGGCCAAACCCATATGGATGGACTTTTACCCACGAGGGGACGGGTAACTTTGGGTGCTTCATTTAGAAACTAGATTCTTTGCCTTATCTGTACTGTATTGTTTCCTAGTTTTATTAAAGTTCCTTTTCATTAAAGTCTCCTATGTTTTGTGTTGATGCAGCGAATGGCAGAACCCATTTAGAATAGGCAGGTTTGGGGGTTTGGGCTGTCCCTCTCCCTGTCCTACAACAGCACCTGAAAAAGTTTCCTTTTGCTGTTGTTCGGAGCACAGAAGTAACCGAAATGTTAGAAGCACAGGAATGAAAGCTGACAAGGGCATCAGTTTGCTAGCAGGGGTAGCTGTGATTGGAGTCCCATAGGGGGACTGAGAGTTGGGGAGTCTGGCAAGCAGCATCCGTTATCTTGGTGGTAGTGGTACTGAGATTAATTGGACCTCCTGCCAGTAGAGGCCTCTGAAGGGACGCACAGAGGAAACAAGAGGAGGTGTTAGTCCCACAAGAGTCATTTAGGAAGGTTATAGCTTTTTGGATTATATGAATCCAGGTTGAGGGTTGTCTCGGTCTTTTCTGATGCTGTTAGCTTATTTTATAGTATTTGTTCTGAATGGAGGATGTCCTGGGAGACTTGGACTGTGGCATTTTGTGTCGGGACATATTCCCTTGAGATGGACAGTGTTGCCACTGGATAGGAATGCCAGCCAGTGCACACTGTGGCTTGGACTCCCTGTACCCAACGTTAGTCCCAAGGATCTGAAATAGCAGAGCTAACTTGATTCATATTGAAGCCCGTATTATGACGGACCAGAGAGAACATTTGGCCTTTGTCTGGAAGGTGCACTGTGCATGACTGGTAAGGGCAACCCCCATATTCTCTATAGGTATTTTTGCAGTGATCTAAGGTTTGATGGTAAAGAAACAAAACAAGGCGTTCATAGGGTTAGTAATCGATGAAAGAGTTAGGGTGAGAGTGATGGGTGCTGTGCATCCGGCCTGTGGGCACTCCACAGTACCCACCTAGTGGGTGGTCTCAGTGGATCCTGAGACAAAGGTCTCCCTAACTTTGAATTTCCATACACAGGACACTGAGCTAAGGGAGATTTTGACAAGAAATGCACATCCTAGTAGGACCCAGGTTACGACATACATACTGTTTGTCTTCGGGGGCACGTTTGACCCCTGACAGATGGTGCCAGGAGGGGTGTCCCAGAAGTGTTACCGCTGTAGGCGTGGTGAGAATAACCGTGTGTGGGCCGGTCCACCGAGGCTGCAGTGGCTTTGGCTGAAGTGATTTGAGCAGGACTTGGTCTCCCGGATGCAGTGGTGGGGAAGGTTGGTTGAGGAGGTCGAGATCTGAGGCAGGACTGGGGAAGTACCGGTCTGCGTGTTCCTGGAGCAGTTGGCTGAGTAGGGAGAGGCCAATCATCCGGGTAGGTGTCCACGCAGTTGGTGAGCTGATTGATGGTAACGTGGCCTAGGCGGCCCTCTGCTGACCGCACGCATCTTCACAAGATCTGCCGTCTACAAACACAGGAGGCATCTGACAAAGGAGTCAGTCTGGAGGTTTGCATTTCGTCCAGGATTTTAGGACACGAATGAGTGGCAGAAGGGGCCAGAGACAGGCAGGAGAGTGGCTG